TACTCTCGCCAATGCAGTTCTCACGGCATTACCTTCCTATGCATGCAATTATATTGGTATCCTCAATACATTTGTAATTTTATTGACAAGTCAGTGCGTTCTTTTATCTGGCATAGTAGGGAAGGTAAAGGCCCACACATGGTAGGATGGGACAAGCTCACTCGACCAAAGAAGGGTGGTGGGTTGGGGATTCGTACCGCTTGAAACCAAAATACTGCATTGTTGGGGAAGCTAGTTTGGGATCTACTACACCCAACGAATCAACTATGGGTTTTAGTACTCAAGGAAAAATATCTCCTGCAAGACTCACTCTTCTTATCCAAGAAGAAGTCAGGTTCACCAACTTGGAGGGCCATCATTCAGGCGTTGGCTCTTTTGGAAGACGGTCTAGTTCTCAAGTTGGGTAATGGAGAGGTCGATGTTTGGCAGGATGTATGGGTGGGTAAGGAACCACTAGCGACGTCTGTCCCGTGGGTGGATATTCACGATTCTGGGTTGCGAGTCAAAGATATTTGGGATGGCACCTCATGGCGATTGGACCAGCTTTACACACCTTTGTCTGAGGCTCTTCGTCTCAAGATATATTGTTTAACTCCGCATCTTGTCGTAGGTGTGCCAGACTTGTGGACTTGGGCACCTGATATCTCTGGGAAGTACACGGTACGATCAGCTTACAGGTGGCTAACAGAGGATCATGGGTTGGAAACCTCTGCAGGTTGGAATTGGATTTGGAAGTTGCCACTTCCAGCTAGTTTGTGTTTCTTTCTTTGGCAGAGTTGTCATCTGGCTCTACCTGTTAAGGAGGTTCTTTGTCAACGTGGCATCTTGGCTTCCAATACCTGCCCTAAGTGTAACTCTGCCGTTGAAAGCTTTGAGCATTGTTTCTTTGCCTGTCCAATGGTGCAGGAGGTGTGGAAGCGATCTGGTTGCAATTTCTCAACACCTACTCTTGATGAGACACATCGTAGTTGGCTTGAGAAGCAGGTGCAGACGCATGAAGCTCTGTTTATAATTATCATGTGGTTCATCTGGTGCCACAGGAATAGACTCATCTTTGATAAGGTGGATTGGAACTTAACATCTATTCTAGCTCAAGCAAATGCTTTACTTCAATTCTCTGTTTCTGCTTTTACGAGTATTGACTGCTCGCATCGACCTCTACCCCGTTTGGTGCATTGGATTCAACCCCAGTGGATTCAGTGGCTCTAAATGTGGATGGGAGTAGGATTGGCACGCCTGGTAGAGGGGGCTTTGGTGGCTTGTGCCGGAACCATGAAGGACAGTTCCTTTTTGGCTTTTATGGCTTTTTGGGGGAGGTTTCTGTTATTCAAACAGAGATCTTAGCTCTTCTCCACAGCCTTCGTCTTTGTTGGGATAAAGGGTTTCGAAAGATTGTTTGTTATTCAGACTTTACTTTGGTGGTATCTCTCTTACAAGGACCTATTCCAATGTTTCATCGCTACGGAAATTAGCTCATGGAGATTCATCAGTTGCTCAATTGTGACTGGACTTGCACTGTTGTTCACACTTTACATGAGGGTAATAGTTACGCAGATGCTCTGGCTCGAATGGGAGCTTTAGGAAATGATAGACTAGTTATTTTACAAGAGCATCCTATGACTCTTTCTAGTTTGTTACTAGCTGACTTTCTGGGAACTGTATTTCAGAGAGGCTAAGTTTTATTTGTATTTTTGTTAGTTTCTTCTTTTTATTTCTCATTCCAATACCAAAAAAAAAAAAAAATTCTCAAAATGCATTGTTAAGTACCCACCTGGCAACTACTCTACAATTTTGGAAATTCCTAAAATCAAGGCATTGTTGCTTCACGCGGTTCTTAGCATCATCCTTCATCATCACTAGAATCGTAAGGATGATGCTTAGGTCTCCAAATTTGTCCACCTTATTTCGAGTTCACATTTCCACTTATGTTTGCCTGAGAAAGGTCATTTCCACTATGTTTCTGGGTGTTCTCCCCTGGACCTGTGCATCTAATGTAAATTTTAAGTTTTAAAAGCTTCTAAAATAGCTTTGGATTGGATGCAATATAGTTGCTGCTTAAAAACTCTAAAATAGCTTTGGATTGGACGCGATATAGCTGCTGCTACACTGAATTGCTGCGCTCATACAGTAATTATAAGCTGCTTATTTTATCCGAACAAATAAAAAACCAAAATGAATGATTTTATTACTGTGTAAAAAATGCTTTTCACTGCTCAACTGAATTACTATATTAACGAGCAAAATTTAAAAAATACCACATTTTTTCAAATTCGAGACCTAGTCCTACTAAATAATTAAGTAATCAAATAATAGACCTCACTATTCTAAAAATTACAGATACAAAATTATAAAATTTTATTTTTTCATTATATTAATTCTTAAGATTATTTAATATCAATTATGATTATAATTTTGAAGGACTATTCTGTCTTATTACAAAATTAAATTGACAAATAGTAATACAATTTAGGAGTAATTTGTTATATAACTCTAAAACCATTTAAACATATAAGAGTACCATTCCCGTTGCCATTTTCAGAATACAAAATACCATAAATTCTTAAAAAAAATACCTCACTTGTTTATAACAAGTTACATTCTTAATCCAGACACTAAATTATTTGAAACTAATCAAATTTTGCAAGTTTTAGGCGCAACATCAGCCACGCAGAATACCCAAAATGTCCTCATTCCTAAACAAATGAAACCTACCAAAAGAAAAAAAAAATCAAGTTAGTGAAATTTTAATTAAAAAAGCTTACTCACACAAAAGATCCATAATTATACTCTTAGCATCATCCTTGATGATACTTAGGGAGTGTATTGGTTTAGGATTTCATAAGATTTTAAAAGACTTTTTTTGAGTAAAAAAATTCATTGGTATTCAATCAGGATTTTATGTCACTTAAAAACAATCCAATGGTATTCAATCTGGATTTTCAAGATTTTTTAAAAAGTCCATTAAAATTTATTTGTATTCATTTGAGATTTTTTACAACTTAAAAACAATCTATTAGTATTAAAAAATATAAGGATTTTAAAGGATTGTTATGTGAGAGAGATTTTGAAGGGCTTTCTAGTGTTATCTATAAATACCAAATTCATAAAACAATCCCATCCAAACTCATCGGATTTTGAAGGATTGTTTGAAGTGACTTTTCAAGAATTTTCAAGTGAGTTTTTCATCTTTTTTTTTTCTATGCTCTTGTCTTCTCCATTTTTTCTCTGCTAATAATACTGCACTATTGTTTATTGCTCATATATAATATTGTAGTATTGTTCTCATCTCATTCCCCTATTTTGTGAAACTCCGATATGTAAATGATAGTATCATTGATTTGCTCTATTTTTCTGTTCGTTGTCTTTAATTGACTTGCTTTATTTTATTCTATGTAGTTGAATTTGTTCCTTTATATAACACAAAAAAATGCTTGAAATTTTAACTTTTAAGTGGTAATTTTTTTTATAACACACGTCAAAAAAAGAAAAAAGGTGAAAGATGAAATTGATATCATAATCTCTACAATATATATATATATATATATATATA